AGACGGGTAGTAAAATGTATGGAATGCACTTCTGAAAGTGTAACTGAATGGCAGTTAGGAAATGTGGTCACCCTAAGTCAGGGGCAGTATTACACAATCTGTATATGTATAAAAAAATATATAAAAAGTAATCTGCAAAGTACAAAATGTTTGTGTCATATGTCGCGCTAAAAATTAAACTAGGAATATGCATATTTTTTGAAAATAATTTTTAGAATAATGATACAGACATTTTATTTCTTACATTTGTGATGATTCTTTTTTCCTCTCTATATTCTAGGGACACTATAGTCACCAGAACCACAACAGCTAAACGTAGTAGATCTGGTGTCTATAGCATGTCTTTGCAGGCTTTTTAATGTAAGCACTGCCATTTCGTAAAAAGGCAGTATTTACATTACTGCTGAGGAATACCTCTAGTGGACACTCAGATGGCCACTACAGGTGCTTCCTAGTCGAGACATGAATGCCGCCCTATGAAGTATCTGCGCATGTGCGGCAAAGCTGCGCATGCACACCAGGGAGCAATGACGCTTCTGAATAGAAGCGTTTTATTGCTCCCTGCTCGCACCCTCCTATTTCGTCATTTTGACGAAATAGGGGGCGCTGCACCAGGAGGATCCTGGCGCTGTATCCAGGTAAGTAAACCCCCTTCCCTGTAGTGACCCTTTCATGTTATTATTTTATCATTTATATAGCGCCAGCAAATTCCATACAATGGCATAAACAACTCCTAGTTTACGGAATAAGAATATACCCGGCGAGTAAAAATGCTACCCCCCCCCAGATTTTTGGGGGTTCCTATGCCCATGGTTACAGCACAAGAAGGAAAATATAACAAATACAAATAAAGGCAAGTGTCAAGGCGTAGAATAAGTATCAAGATACAAGGGATGTAACAAGTAGCTTAAAAATGATAGGGCACTTTAAATTATGCTGGTGCCCAGAGTTTTCCTTTAAAAGGGTTGTGAAATGGAGGTGGTAATTTAATCAAACTCAGGTGTTAGTAACCCTTGACTCATCCTGTTAAGCCCAGAATGGTATGATCAACAGCCCATACCAACATCAATATGATAAATGCAGACGCATGTCATGTGTGAACATATTTCTGCTGACAACCACACACTTTATTTAAACCATCCATTGTGTAATGAACTTTAAATAGATTGACTATATTCTATTCCCCTTACAATGTACAAGCTCTGTTTAATTGTTCACCTCTGTGTCCAGTACGGTTCTACTGCAAGAACCGCTGCTCTGAAATTGCATTCTGTATTCACTTTCATAGTCTGAGCACAAAGCAGGAAAAACTGGAATCTGTGGGAAATTAAATCACTAAAGAGTTACATTTGTTAGAATACAGCATTTAACACATATTATTGCAGTATGCACATATTTACAGCATGCTAAAAGGAACCCTATAGCATTAGGAACACAAATGTATTCCTAACACTATAGTGTCTCCTCACTATTTAGAGTAGAGTGCCCACTACCTTAAAGGACCACTCTAGGCACCCAGACCACTTCAGCTTAATGAAGTGGTCTGGGTGCCAGGTCCTTCTAGGGTTAACCCATTTTTTCATAATTATAGCAGTTTCAGAGAAACTGCTATAATTATGAATGGGTTAAGCCTTCCCCCTAATCCTCTAGTGGTTGTCTCATTGACAGCCACTAGAGGCGCTTGCGTGCTTCTCACTGTGAAAATTACAGTGAGAGCACGCAAGCGTCCATAGGAAAGCATTGTAAATGCTTTCCTATGCGACGGGCTGAATGCGCGCGCAGCTCTTGCCGCGCGTGCGCATTCAGCCGGCGGGGCGTAACGGAGGCGGAGAGGGGGAGGAGAGCTCTCCGCCCAGCGCTGGAAAAAGGTAAGTTTTTACCCCTTTCCCCCTTCCAGAGCCGGGCGGGAGGGGGTCCCTGAGGGTGGGGGCACCCTCAGGGCACTATAGTGCCAGGAAAACGAGTATGTTTCCTGGCACTATAGTGGTCCT